CACAAATTATTTCTAAATGAAAAAGAGTTGGCGGTTTCATATAAAAATGTGTTTTTTTTTTTGTGTTTGTAAAATATATTAGACCGTCTACGAGAGTCACAACTCAATTAACTTTTGCGCTTATTCTTTTTTAGCACAGACATCATGACATTGTCAATATTGGACACTTTATAAAATATATTTACGCACTGCCATATTAAAAAACATATAAGTTTCTTTTTATTTTAGCTCTTCTTCCAGAAAACGTTTTAATGATGCACAGAAACGCAACGCCCCGTCAGCCAATTTTTCCTTGCTGTGAAAAGCGATACTTAAACGTAGACAATTTTTCGCTACTGTCGGTTCATACGCAAAACGCGATCCTGGTATAAAGAATACTTTCTCATCTTTCACACAGTATTGTAAAAATTTGGCGGCGTCCGCCAATGGGGGTAATGAAATCCAAATAAAATATCCACCTGATGGTCTTGTCCAATTACAATTTGAGGGTAAATGACGTTCAAGAACCTCGCAAGTAGCTAACATACGCTCTTTGTACGCATGTGATACTTTATCAATGTGTACTTGCGCCAATTTCAGTTCGAAGAGGCTGGCCAATATACCAGAAGTATAATTGTTAAAACAACCGCCACTATTCAAGATACCACTGCGATGGGAATGTTCGTTGTATATTTAAAAAAAAGAAAACACAGCATAATGAATAATTGGAACTTACGACATTTCCAAAATAGGTTTTAAACGTGCAGGTACCTCCAACCAACCCATACGTAGGCCTGGTCCAATTATTTTTGAGAAACTTCCATTCGAAATTATATTTCCAGATCCTTTATCGTAGGCAAACAATCGTTTGGGTGGTCGTGCTATCGTGTAATTTAGGATATTGTAAACGTCATCACAGAGTATTAAGAAGTCATATTTTTGGGCCAGCTCAGCAAGATTTTGGCAAATAGCTGGATTTAATTTAAATAAAGAATTGTGAAAGTATGAGCATGTTAAAAGCTAATAGAAGAGTCTATATATGTATATACATACATATGTACATATATGCACATATCGCTCACTTTCTAAACGACTGATATAATTCGTCGCCTGGATTAAAGATTGTCGTAAGCGCAATTTTGACGATTTTTAGTTATAGATGCAGTTATATATTTTGAAATAAGGTCTTTCGATTGGTGTTATCTGTTTTTAGATATCTCCTTTAGTTTCCGAGATATTGACTACCATTTTTTCGATAATTTAGTAAAAATTTAGTTACTGATGTAGTAATATTAAACTAATCAATATCTTAAAAATGGCGTTCTCCATTTTTAGATATCTCCTTTAGTTCCCGAGGTATTAAGTATAAAGTGTCGTTAATTTAGTAGAAATTTTGATCATATTTTGTCGTATTTCATACAATGGCTGCCAAATTGTGGACAAATGACGCTTACGACAAAATTTTACTAAATAAAATCCTTCATAAACTCAGAACTGATTAACAATAAACATTAAATAATTTAAAAATTTTGTGAACTAGTAACATTTTCAGAGACTTTCTATCCTCGCGTTTTTGAGAAATTGCATTCCAAACTTCAATCGCGATGTCCCACAACTTGCCGAAATCAACATACGACAATCTTTTACCCAGGCGACGAATTGTAAATACGAGATTTTTTTGGAAACGCATTTAAAGTTTTCAATTTGCTCCCAAAATGATCAAGAGAGATACATATTAGGGGTATTCAGAGATACATATTAGGGGCAATATTGTCAAGTCAATATTGTCCGGTGTAAACCCAACTATAAACTCCACAAGATTTTAGCATGCAATTTTTACAAAATATGAATCATGATACCGAGGGCTTATATTTATATAAATAAATAAATACCCTCTATCTGCAATTTTTATAAAAACTACTTTGTGATGTTAGAACCCATCTGGGACTTTACTGTCATCACTGATGTTAATTCTGACTTCGCAATTTAATAGTAAATTCTTCTGTCAAGCGTTATACAAGGTCAGTGTTAATATCACCGATGACAATTGAAATATTTGTTCAGCAATAATTTCATTGGGATATAAACCAAAATGCTTTAACATCGTACAAATTCATTGAAAAAGTTACTTTTTTGTTTTTAAAACATTAAAATCTAAAGATTATGTAAAAACAAGTAATAAAAGACCGGGCAGAGCCGAACATTAAATACCCGGTGCAAGTATTAAATATATGATTTTCACCTTTCCGAAAGCTACCGCATGGTAGCTACCTACATGGTAAGCCCGGGTGTATCAATTTTGAGTAAATTAGCGTCCTTAAATTTCGAAATTCGAAGTTTCAAGCATTTCTGAAATCTACCGTTATATGAAAAGCGGCCTTAATTTTCGTCCGATTTCAATAATTTTCAACGTTTTGCTTTTATGTGGCAAGCACACTAACCATACCGAGTTTGGTACAAATTGGTAGAACGGTTACCGAGATACATATATGTGATCATAAATAAGCGGTGCCACGCCCATTTTCCAAAATTTTATCATAAACGTATTTCTTGGTAAAGAATTGTTGCAAGCATCGATTTTGAATAAATAAGCTTTAATATTTACTGATTTATCGAAGATCTCGTATTTCTCCAAATTACCATTATATAATTTATGTGGGCGTGCGTGGTTATTGTCCGATTTTGAAAATTTTCGACCATTTGTTATGCTGTGTCAAGGCCAACAACTGTGCCAAATTTGGAAGAAATTGGTGCAGCGGTTACCATATACACATGTAACCATAAGTGGGCGTGGCTATGCCAATTTTCCAAAAATTTATAATATTCTTATTTTTTGTCTAAGAATTTTTGTAAATATCAATTTTGAGTGAATAATCTTCAGGAGTTACTAAAATGTCGCAGTTTTCGTATTTCTGAAAACTACCGTTATATGGGAGGTAGGCGTGGTTATTGTCCGATTTTTTCCCATTTTACGTATACGTTTGTCTATATCTATCTCGATTCGTTTTGCCTGTTACAAACAACCGTTATGTGATTAATGTTATAATAACCTTGTTCATAAGTGCGCTCGGATATAAAAATAAAACTAGCCAACAAAAGGAAAAAATTCGAAATAAAAAAATAAAATACTCTCTCCTACTGATGAATACCAAAATCATCTCAGGTCACAAAAATAGTCACTAGTGCTAGTCTCAAATTCGTGACTTGAGATGAGACTGAATTACTGAATCCCAGTGTTAGGCGGATTTTTATACCAGAATCTCATTTTTGCGAAAAAGGCAGAAAGAGTGTATTGCATATATGTATGTAAACCCTCGATATAACGATTGATTCGGCAACATTTGCTCAATTTCTCTTCTTGAGTTATGGCAGTCTTTCCGTAAACGAGCAAACATACATACCTTCCGAAAACAAAATCCCTGTCGGATTATGATAGGCGGGAATTGTATAGTACATTGCCCAAAAGGTTTTGGAATTCGATTGAAAACGTTTTTTCTGTAAAATTTGCTCAAATTCCTTCACGCTTACACCATCATTGTTAAGTCGTACTACAATAAAAGATATATCTATTATATTGCGCATAACTGTACATACATACATATGTATAAATTTTTTACTCACATGGTATTATAGTGATCGTTGTAAATTGTTTAATAGCATCAAGTGCAATCATATAAGTTACTTCATCAACGAAAACTATACCATTTAAATCGACCAGAGTAGATAAGACAAAATGCAGTCCCTGTGATGCACCGGTTGTAATTATGAGATCCTCGCTGGCGAAAATATTTTTCCACTACTAATTAGTCTTTCAAAAGACTGTCGCAGCTCAAAAACGCAATTTTTCGGCAGATGCATTTCAAATTTCCAATTTGCTCTCCAAAAGCCAAAAAAGTATACATATGTATGTATATCCATAATCGCTTCTCACACGGAAATTACACAAGATTTAAGCGTAAAATTTTTGCTAAATATTAAGCACGATTTAGCGAGTAATTTTTGGCACCATATCTTAAAACTCCGTTTTTTGAGCTGTGACCGGCTTAGTAAATTAG